TCTTGTCTGAGGTGTTTTTGGATACAACTTGGGTCTGTATCTGTTCCATGTTCTCAGCATGGGATGATGATCTAACAAGATGATTTTTAAAATCCACATTGACCTGAATCTCAGGTCCTGCTCTTCCAGTTCCGAGAAACTTTTGTTTCTCAGCAACATTCGCCCTTTCCTAGAAGCCAAAAAGCCAGCTGCAAATTACGATTTCAAGTCGGGCAACCCTTGTCCTCCTCTTCCCTTTGCATCTTGTAACCCTTTAGACTTTACTCGTGGTTTTCCCCTCTGCCGCACAAATTTGGATATACCCCCCTGCCGTTGTCTAAATGGCACATCAGCTCTCAAAACAGTTACTGTCGGAAACAAACAAACAAATCATTTTATCACAGAATTGCTTCCCAGCAATGTCAATTGTGGTTTCTCCCATCTTATCTTTTTTACCTTCACTCATTCTTGTCTTAACATAGTTATTTTGGAATAACATGCAGTTAGTATTTTTCCATAATGATACCCAGATATTTTCTTCTCGATCTTAAGACTCATTTTATTTATCAGTTCTGTTTGATCTTCCATTTTCATATTTTTTGTTAACATCTTTGTCTTCTTTTCATTAATCTTGAAACCTGCTAATGCACCAAACAGACCAAGTATTTTCTATTGTTTCCTGCCCAGAAAAAAAAACCCTGCTCCTTCACATCAGCTGGAAAAAGATGGTACTGCAAACCCCTGTGTTTTAATCTTGCAAAAACCTATAGCTAAATTTGGCATTAAGTGGTACCAGACTGTGGGCACCATTACCTGGGAGAGCTTGGTGCTGACACCCTCCCTTAATAATAATAATAGTAGTAAAGTTGGAAGGTACCTTGGAGGTCATCTAGTCCAACCCCTGCTCAGGCAGGAAACCCTACACCATTTCGGACAAATGGCTGTCCAGTCTCTTTTTAAAAACTTCCAGTGTTGGAGCATTTACTGCTTCTGGAGGCAGGCTGTTCCACTGATTAATTGTTCTCACTGTCAGGAAGTTTCTCCTTAGCTCTAGGTTGCTTCTCTCCTTGATTAGTTTCCACCCGTTGCTTCTTGTCCTGCCTTCAGGCGCCTTGGAAAATAGCTTGACACCCTCTTTTTTGTGGCAGCCCCTGAGGTATTGAAACACTGCTATCCTGTCCCCCCTCGTCCTTCTCTTCATTAAACTGGACATACCCAATTCCAGCAACCGTTCCTTATATGTTTTAGCCTCCAGTCCCTAATCATCTTTGTTGTTCTTCTCTGTACTCTTTCTAGAGTTTCATGAAGACACCATAAATAACTTACTTTTCTAATCACACTATTTGCTTCATGAAGCAGCCTTGGGGAAATCCTTCTTATCATCGAAGTTTCCTTGAGAAGAGAGAAGCTCTGCCATTGCAGTCCCTGAGATATTGGAACACTGCTATCATGTCCCCCCTCATCCTTCTCTTCATTAAACTAGACATACCCAATTCTAGCAACCATTCCTTATATGTTTTAGTCTCCAGTCCCCTAATCAGACAGCAGTGGCACTTACGCCGCAAATTGGGAAGAGGCTGGAAAAACCAAGTTGCTCTCAGCTCAAGAAGCATTTTACAGACAAGAAACAGCAGACAAAGAGAAATATCAAGATTTCTTAGTGTAGGAATATGGAGAACTTAAGGAAGTCAAGAGAATAATTGACTGCAGAGAGATTTACATTTCAAGGGTTTTCAGACACAGTCAAGAGAAAGATTTAATATAGATAAAAAAGTAATAGGAATTGAACAACGTAAGACTGAACTATGCACAAATGATGAACACGTGATTGCTAAAATGTATCCCGGTAATTTTTTGTTGAGTCTTGAAATAGCAAAAGAACAAGTTAAAAACTGCAAGATAAAATGAGTAAAAATTTTGGTTATAATATATAGATGGATCAATGGGAGGGAATGTGGTTAAAAGGATGGAAATTCACAGAGTATTATAAGAGATTTTTTAAAATAAATTGTTGCACCATTGTTATACCACATCAGAGAAATTATCTAGGTTATATTAACTAGTACCTCTAGTTAATGCTGGAAATGTGCAAAACACGAAGGGTCATTTTACCATGCATGGTCAACTTGTGAAAAAGCAAAAACATACTGCAAACAAATATGACGATAACTGAAAATTTAAAGATCAATATTCAGATGAAACAGTTTTTTTAATCTGGAATGTTGTAGAAAATGACCAGGCTGAGCCTGAGGAGGGGTCAAATGTGTCATCAGTCATGAGTCCCTGCACTCCCACAAGAGTCCTAAGTCCAGCCCCCCTTGAATTCCTTTTCATTCTTATCTCCCGCTCATTTCCCTTGACCATTAATTGGTCAGATTCTTGTAGAATCTACTGAAGTTGCAATAAATCTTTATACACATCTGAACTGCCTGAATCACCTGATTTCCCTGGTGCTTGACTGATTTATGGATAACCAATTGTAAAAGTCTCTTGAAGATTGATTTTGTACATGCAGAAAGATAATTATATGCGTAACAGTAAAGAAATACTGAAACACCCACAAGGAAGGAGTGGATTGTGAAGATGACAGAAATGGCAGAAATGGCAAAACTGAGCTGCTTGATCAGGGATAAATAAGTAATAATAATAGTAGTAATAATAATAGTAGTAGTAGTAGTTATAACAACAACAACAATAATAATAATAATAAAGTTGGAAAGGACGTTGGAGGTCATCTAGTCCAACCCCCTGCTCAGGCAGGAAACCCTACACCATTTCGGACAAATGGCTGTCCAGTCTCTTCTTAAAAACTTCCAGTGTTGAAGCATTCACCGCTTCTGGAGGCAGGTTCTTCCATTGGTTAATTGTACTTTTATAAAGGTATAAATCTTTATAAAAGATTGGAAACTTTTTATGGTCTTTTTGCCATAAATGGGAAAAAATGAAATATTGATTTCAGATTATGCTGATTAAAAACGGTTGAATATGGGAAGAAGGGAACCCTGTAACACAATTTTCAAGAGGGAGGCAGGATAATAACTTTGTCTGTAACTGCTGTAAAGAAGATTGATTTTTTTTTTCTCTTTTAAATCTTTCAAGTGTTTTTCACTTTTAAAAATCTTTTTCTTAACTGCATTTCCATACGTATTGTTCTGAATTCTGTAAAAAATTCTAATAAAAATGATATATAGCAGAAAGTTCTATGAACACGAACCATCCATTCTGTAGGGCCGCACAGGGCTTTACCTCCCTCTTGCCCTGCTGAGTCTCCCTGGATCATCAGTTATGGCTGGGACATGGCACAGCCTTCCAAAGAGACCTTTGCTCTGATTAATGAAGACAGCGATTGTCTTCTTTTGGCAACCTCTCCCTTGCTGAAGACCCAACCATGAGCAAGGAGTCATTGCCCATCATGTTCTTTGTTCTCTTTTCAATGAGCAGAAGAACCTTCATGTACATGGACTAAATGTTTCTGACTTTAACATTTCTACTGGATGCTTTGCAGATTCTGCAATCATAGAATCTAGGGCTGGAAGAGAACTTAAAGGACTTCCAATCCAACTCTCTGTCTATACCAGGGGTACCCAACCTCCAGGCCATGGACCAGTACCGGGCTGCGACATGCCAGCAACCGGTCCACACAAACAAGCAAAGCCCCATCCACGAGATGCAGGCAGCACACAAAACCACGCACCCTACAGTCCACAGAAAAACCTCTCTCCACGGAACCGGTCCCTGGTGCCCCAAAGGTTGGGGACCTCTGGCCTATACCATTCTAGACAAATGGTTGTCCAATCTCTTCTTGAAAACCTCCAAAGATGGTTTGAAAGAGGGGTCAAAAAGGCTATCTACATTAATGTTGAACAGCCTTCTCTCAATAGAGGGGGAGGGATGCGACACCCCCTATCACCTGTTTACAACACAGTCCTTTCAGCAGTTCCAAGAAGGCTCCACACCCATTTGCAATATTCAGGTGACCCTGAAGGCACAGATAAACCTCCAAGTGGCCTCAACGACTCTCAGAGAGAGTACTAACGACCAGATGACTGCAAGGGATACAAATCCTTCCATTCTCCACCATTCAGTCAGAAATGAAGAAGCTTGTTCAATGAGAAGTGAAATATCTTCAAGGAAAAACAAATTCCAGTTGCTTTTTGAAAAAGCACCTTCGGGACTCCAGTGGTGGAGCACCCACAATTTCTGGAGGCAAGCTTTTCCACTCCTTAATTGTTCTGTCAGGAAATTTCTCTTTAGTTCTAGGTTGCTTCTCTCCTTGATTAATTTCCATCTGTTGCTTCTTGTCCTGCCCTCAGGTGCTTTGGAGAATAGGTTGACCCCCTCTTCTCTATGACACAAGACAGCTACCATGTCTCTTCTGAGCCTTTTCTTCCTTAAGTTAAACATACCTACTTCCCTTAACCTTGTAAGGTTTATCCTGCAGATTTTGGCCACTGAGATAGAAGAGCCACTGCTGTTGCATACCTATTGGCCTTCAACTTTTGTTCATATATCTCATGGAAGCTCCCACTCAAGCCAGCTTCCATCCAAGTTCCTATTTATGGCATTTCAATCTCAAAAAAAATAGGTCTATGATACTGGCCAACAGAGCCCAAACTCTGAAGCACCAGTTAGAACATTTTTCTGATGATTGAGAGCCAAATTGGTGCACACAATCTTACAGAACTGACCACAAATTGTGACCCAAGTAGAAAAATAACTTTCTGAAAACAACTGAGCTCATTCACTGTGCCACAATATGGTTTCTGTTGTTTTGGCTTAGTGCAGTGTTTCTCAGCTTTGGCCCCTTGAAGATGTGTGGACTTCAATTCCATAGCTGGCTGGGGAATTCTGGGAGTTGAAGTCCACACAACCTCAAGGGACCAAGGTTAAGAAACACTGGCTTAGTGTGTTAATCTGCCTCATGTTGTGAGTATTTGGTAAACCATATCCAAGCGAACTATGGCTTAGCAGAAGGCCTGGTCCCAGTCAACAATGAAAGAGAATCTGAACAGCGCACACACCTTTCCGAAGCTGCCTTTCCCCAGCACCATCAGGAAGTTGAAGTCAGACAGTTTCATGCGATCACGGTTCCCGTTGTTGTCAAATTTGGAGATGGTGTTGGGCAGCCTTTCTTCCATAGCTCTTGAACCTGGACCCATTCTGGCTCTCTAGAAAAGGAAAACACAATGAAATGGAGACAGTGAAAGCAGACGAAGCTAAGCAAAGCAAGGCATACTTACTTAACTTAAGTAAGTTAACAACAGATTTTGGGCTCAGTTGTGACCGTAAGTCAAGGACTACCTGTAATAGATATTGACTGAGATGGGTGGCCATAAAAAATTGAACAAACAAAGAAACGATTAAATAAATAACTCACCCAGGTGTTCCTACCATCACTGGGGCATGTTGGAATATACCAGGGGTAGGCCACCTTGGCTCTTTTATGACTCGTGGACTTCAACTCCCAGAATTCCTGAGCCAGCATGGCTCAGCTTGGAAACCTCTCCCTTTCCCCTCGGCATGGCTGGCTCGGGAATTCTGGGAGTTGAAGTCCACGAGTCATAAAAGAGCCAAGGTGGCCTACCCCTGGTATATTCCAACATGCCCCAGTGATGGTAGGAACACCTGGGTGAGTTATTTATTTAATCGTTTCTTTGTTTGTTCAATTTTTTATGGCCACCCATCTCAGTCAATATCTATTACAGGTAGTCCTTGACTTACGGTCACAACTGAGCCCCAAATATGTTGTTAAGTGAGACATTTGTTAAGTGAGTTTTGCCCCATTTTCACGACCTTTCTTGCCACAGTTGTTAAGTGAATCACTGTGGTTGATAAGTTGGCAACCTGGTTGTTAGATGAATCTGGCTTTCCCCATTGACTCTGCTTGTCAGGATGCAAAAGGGGATCACATGACCTTGGGAAACAACAATGGTCATATGTATGAGTCAGTTGCCAAGTATCTGAATTTCGGTCACGTGACCATGGGGATGCTGCAAAGGTCGTGTGGAAAATGATTGTAAGTCACTTTTTTCAGTGATATAATTTTGAACAGTCACTAAATGAACTGTTGTAAGTCGAGGACTATGTGTACTTCTAAACAAACTCTAAATAGTAGTAGTAGCAGTAGTAGTAGTAGTAGTAGTAGTAGTAAAGTTGGAAGGGAGCTTGGAGGTCATCAAATCCAACCCCCTGCTCAGGCAGGAAACCTTATACCATTTTGGACAAATGGCTGTCCAGTCTCTTCTTAAAAACTTCCAGTGTTGGAGCATTCACTGCTTCTCGAGGCAGGTTGTTCTACTGGTTAATTGTTCTGTCTGTCAGGAAGTTTCTCCTTAGTTCTTGGTTGCTTCTCTCCTTGATTAGTTTCCATCCATTGCTTCTTGTCCTGCCTTCAGATGCTTTGGAGAAGAGCTTGACTCCCTCTTTTTTGTGGCAGCCCGAGGTATTGAAACACTGCTATCCTGTCCCCCCTCGTCCTTCTCTTCATTAAACTGGACATACCCAATTCCAGCAACCGTTCCTTATATGTTTTAGCCTCCAGTCCCTAATCATCTTTGTTGTTCTTCTCTGTATTCTTTCTAGAGTCTCATGAAGACACCATAAATAACTTACTTTTCTAATCACACTATTTGCTTCATGAAGCAGCCTTGGGGAAATCCTTCTTATCATCAAGTTTCCTTGAGAAGAGAGAAGCTCTGCCATTGCTAATGCTTCCCTATTACATCAGATCGAGAGAGAGAGAGAGGGGGGGTGCACTTCTTGAGAGAGAGGTGCACTTCTCCAAAATTGTGTTTACAGGGTCCCAGATGGGAATCGCTGGCAGAAGGGAGAAGAGCCCATGCCAGTCCAGGTTTTCCTTGGCAGCACCATAGCCCTGAGAATCTGCACCCCATCTGGCCCCGTGATGGCTCTGGAGATGGAAAAGTTCTGGGGGCCGGGAGACAAAGTGCCCACCCAAATTCCTTCACCTTACAAGACGGACCCCTCCTTCTCCATGACGGCATCTGAGGATCTCAGATCCTTGGACAGAAAAAGAAGCAAAGAGGTCTCCCTAGATCAGGGACAGGCAACCTTGGCTCTTTTATGACTCGTGGACTTCAACTCCCAGAATTCCTGAGCCAGCACAGAAGGCATGCCTACCCCTGCCCTAGATGTTGCCAGGGCAGACTTTGTAAGCCCTGTGGGGGGAGGGGAGCAGAACAGTGATCCCTAGGACCCTGGAGTGGTGGAGGGGGGCTTTATCTCTTGCTGCTGCTCCAGCTCCCCAATCCCAATGGGGAACTTGGGTCAATTCTTAGCAAAGGGAGAAAAATGTTCTTTGCCATTCTTGCAAGCGTCTCCTCCAGGGGAACTGATGAACATAGAGCAGCCACAAAGCCTAAGCAAAAGGGACCAGGCAGGGCTAACACAAATCACCCCGCCCTCCCAAAAAAAAACAGGAATGCCAGGAAAATAGATGGAAGTAGAAGGGCCTGCAAAGGAGCCTCCTTCTTGGGCCCTGGGCAAGGCTCTCTGGCACTGCTTTTCCACACTTGCAGGCTTCAATTGCCCTGGAAATCCATGACTTCTTTTCATTCCAGCTGCATCTTGATGATAGCGAAAGCTAGCTTCCTGTATTTTCCTCAATCACTCCTTAGCACCCGAAAACCTTTTAAAAACTGTACTTGAACCTTTCCTATCACAGCCAAAAATGCTGTTTCTGCATCTCTCATTGAAAATAGTTCGGAAGGAAACACAATAGGCTCTGCCTGTCCCAGCAGCAACCCAACAACGGGCAGCAACTCAGCAAACCCATTTGCAAAGGAGATGGACGGGGCCTCTTTCCCAGAGCCCCCCATAATTGCTGAGCATTCAGGAGCTTTCTAAAAGGGTGGGAGCATCATTCTTCTCCCGTTGGACTGGGGGTGGGGAGCATAACGTTTTGGGACATAATTTGTTAAGCACACGGACACACACAGATAGCAATCTCATAATTTATTCATTTTAATTTCTGAGAAATACCTGCCATTGGAGGCACCCACCGGAGCTCAGCCTAGCATGAAATTCCATTAAGCCGAGTCAATTGGCAGCTCCTCCAGACTCCAGCAGAAGCCCAGAAGATCTGCTGGTGCTCCCCTTGAGGAGGGGTTTGCAGTTCTCTCCCAGAAACCCCCCTCCCCCTCCTGACATTTTGGAAGGTGTCTGCTGACAGCATCCCTCCCCAGCCATCCCTCTGTTACTGAGGACCGGTCCTGGACCACATCACATGCTCTCCACTGTCTATTTTCCAGGCTGAACATGATTCTGGCCTGGATGTATCCAGATTTGCCAAGCACCTCACAGCCCCGACCCCACCAGCAATGCTGGCAAGGCTAAGCCAGCCTTTAGCCTAAACCCTGCTGGCCAGTCATAGTGGGATGCTTGGCCGAGTCCAGGGAGGCGGGGGGGGGGAGCAAAGAAGCCCAGGGAAGCCTTGGCAAAATTAACTTTCCTCCACAAGTTGGATGATGGAAAGAGCCCAAAGCCCCCCCCCAACCCTCCCCATCAGCAGGGTCTGCAGTGAGTAAGCCGTAAGTCGGCTACTCTTGCTGCCTCTGAAGTTGCTCTCGCTCAAGCCGTTTTCTTCCAAATGTGCAGCCATTATTAAGAGTGTTAATTTCTCTTAAATGGAGCCCATGGGCTCTTGTTTTTCCTACAGTGGTGAAAAGCTATACTTTCACTCCCTGTGTCAAAGAAGCTTAAACAAAGCCATTCCTGCACAATGCGCAGTCAAAGGCTGACAAAACTAGGCTGAGATAGTAGGTGGTTTGAATAAAGGTTGGGGTTGGGGGAAACCTGCCAGAGTTGCCTTCATGGTTCCTTCTCAGCCTTTTTATTTCTCTTCCTCACCTCTTAAATTCTTTCTCTGTTCCTCTTCATTCTCCTTAGAACAATTCTGGGTATCAAGGGCCACCCAGAGGTTTCCATCAGGGTTTCTGCTCTGGCAAGGCTTGAAGGCTTACTGATTTGGCCCTTTGCCCAACTGATAGGAGAAGGTCTACCAAAAAAACCCCCTTAAAATGGTGGCTGAAGTTTAAGTAGTTCAGATAAAGTAGAAATAGTCTTATTGTATATAATATTAATGTTTTAATTTGGAGAGAGGAACTGCTTGGGCATTTCCCCTGGACCGCATCAAGAGGGAGGAGAAGAAGGTGAGAAGTAAGTAGGAAGGTGGAGGTGAAGGAGGAGGGGGGTGAGTGAAGAAAAAGAGGGAAAGAAGTAAGTTGGTTTGAGGTGGGATGCGGTCTGGGGGGAAATGGGAGGGCAAGACCGAATGTGGTGTGTATCAATTTGTTTTGTTTTTTATCTGAAGTATTTGTAAGATTGTTACGTATTGTAAAGTTGAAAATAAATTTTTTTACAAAAATAAATGGTGGCTGCAACCACCCACATAAAGCCTCACCCATGTTTTATATGCATTAAGGCCATGGCCACCCCCCATCTTGACATTTTTGCCCCCAAGAGAGTGGAGCAACCTCTTCAAACTTGCAGCTGATGATTCTAGCAATCCGAGAGGGACTCATTTCTCCAGCCCAGGCAAATGCAGCCGCATCTCCCAGGGCCCAAAAAATCTGCCAAAGCAGGTCCTGCCCCAGAGCCCTTTAGGGTGGTTTTTTTTTGATATGACAGGGAAAAAAGCTAATTAAATATGGAAGGAATTGTTTATCATGTCATTTGCATTTAAATAGCTCAATTAAGCTTAATTAATTTAAATGAAAACAAATTTACTCTTTGTCCTACCTTGCCTAAGCTTTTGAGTGTGGCTCCCATGGTTAATCCCCGTCACCCATTTCCTGATACTGCCACATTTTTACACACAATCTCTCAGCAAAATCCTCGGGATTCTGCCAGTTATGAGCCTGTGGCTTCTCTCTCCTACCTTTGTAACTGGGAATAAGCTTTCCTGAACAGCATGGAGACCCACCTGAGCAGGTGTGCCCTGGACTGCCCTCCACACACCGTTGGGGGTTGCCACGTGGCCAATGCAGCTTCGTTTCCTGCCAAGGAGGGATCAGCCCCACTGAATCTCAAATCTGGCCAGGCAGCCACAGAAGCAGTTGCCTCAGCCGGGGTTCCTGCTTGCTTCCCAGCAGGTGTAAATAGGAAATTATCCCATTATTGGATATTCTGCCTTCCTTCGAGAGCATCTTTCCTTCATTTTTCCCCCAACCCTGTCATCAGTTAGTTGGGCTGACAGGGCTTTTCTATGACTGGGGGAGGGGGGATTAAAAATGGTTCTCCCCTCCCCCCCAGTTCTGGGCCAACACTTTAACCACTCTTTCACATTTCCCCTCCCAGTGCTTAAGAGACAAAATACACATCAGGAGGGCTGTTTTCAATCTATCTCCTTATAAATTTAGCAAATCATTTGCTGTCACTTCTAGTGGCCTTCTTGAGCCCCTGCTGCCTACCTGCACGTTCCCCAAGCCCAGGGGGTGGCACATTTTCTTATTTTATTTATTAAAATCCAGTGACTTACAGCAGTGGTTTTCAACCTTTTCTTCACCATGGACCCCCTTTAAATACCTTTTGTGGCCACAGACCACCAGGACTTAACTCAAGATTTAAATCATAACATTTATTCACGCCTTTGCAAACATCACAGCCCCCCCAGTGGTCCTGATGACCACAGGTCTAGAACTACTGGGGTAGAGCAATACCAATTAAAGGATCCACACTCCAGTCTAAAATCAATCCCTCAGAAAACCCCAGAAAAACAGAAGACGACAACAACAAAAAAGGCCCAACTACAAAAAAGCGTCCTTTACTCTGTTATCCTTTTTATGAGCTGCTGATATATGGAGTATTTCCTTTTCCTTTGTTTTCAAAAAGTCCTTTGTGCTGCTCCTCGTTTCCCTTAATATCAAGAATTCCAGCTCTTTATACATTATGCAGTTCCTCCTCAGTTCCTACTACTTTGCCTCCTGAATTTAGTGCTAGGGCTAGTAGCAAGGACTAATTGAGGCCAGCTGATCTGCTTGTGTCTTCCTTCCTCCCCCCACTGCCCCAAAGGAGAAAGTTGCAGAAGGCTGGGCTGAAGGTGTTCCTGGATTCCATCGGGGTTGGTCACCAGGACCAGAGGTTTAGTCTTCCGAGTTTTCGGACTCTTGCTGAAGCCCATCCTCAGGGAAGTTCTCTCTAGCAGAGTGTGTGCTTTGGGCTGTTCTATGCATAGTATTTATGTGGCCCCTGGTTGTGTGTGGCTCTTTAATTGTTGATTGGGTTATTGACAGCCAGCTATTAAGTTGTTGGCTGTTGTGCTGCCAAGCCCTCATTTCCTAAGGACTTGATAAGCTGGTGGTAAATCAGCACTCCTGTTGACTGACTAAACCTCTGGTCCCAGTGACTCACCCAGATTGTGGATCCTGCAACATTATCCTGGGACACGTAGGTTTGCCTTCATTCGCGAAGGTGTCCCTCTGCAGACATGGAGATAGTCACAAATGTGCAGCCACAAAATCAAAGCTCTTCTCTGCGGGCAGTTCAAGCAGCTGCATCTTTCACAAGGCTCAAACAACGGACTTCCTGTCTACAGGTTGTCCTCACTTAATGACAGATCGTTAGTGACCAGACCAAGTTGCAGCTGACCGCCCCAGCAACCAGATTTCAAAGTTCTTACAGCTGCACTCCCGTGGTCATGTGATCATATTTTGGACACTTGGCAGCTGGCTTGTATCTGTGACCACTTGTAGTGCTCTCTGGTCATGTGATCGTGGATTTTGGAATTCTTTTTGCCAGTTTACTTCCAGTTTCCAGCAAAAAATAGACCGTTGGGGGAAAGGAGTTTGCTTAATGACTGCGGCATTTTTAATGACCACCATAAAAAAGGTAGTAAAATCAAGCCAGGTCCGCAATGTTCTGCTTAACAACTGCCATGACTTATGACTGTGATTCTGGACTCAATTGTAGCTGTAAGCTGAGAACTACCTGTCTTTCTGTGTGAACAGATGTTTTCAAATAGGTTGCACAGCTCCAATAATGAAAGTCCCTTTTTCTCATTTGCTATTGTGACACAGCCTTGGTTTTGTCCAATACATCTTCTCTTTTGAGAGCTGAATGCAATGAAATTTCATTTAATGCATGCTGATTAGTGTACATTTGAAATGACAATAAAGATTCTATTCTATTCTATTCTATATTCTGTTCTGTTCTGTTCCTGTTCCTGTTCCTGTTCTGTTCTTTATTCTATTCTGTTCTATTCTACTCTTTATTCTGTTCTGTTCTGTTCTGTTCATTTTCTATTCTATTCTTTATTCTGTTCTGTTCTATTCATATTCTATTCTATTCTATTCTATTCTATTCTTTATTCTGTTCTATTCTATTCTATTCATCATTATTCTATTCTATTCATCAGTATTCTATTCTATTCTATTCTATTCTATTCTATTCTATTCTATTCTATTCTTTATTCTATTCTGTTCTATTCTACTCTTTATTCTGTTCTATTCTATTCTATTCATTTTCTATTCTATTCTTTATTCTGTTCTATTCTATTCTATTCATCAGTATTCTATTCTATTCATCAGTATTCTATTCTATTCTATTCTATTCTATTCTATTCTATTCTATTCTATTCTATTCTATTCCATTCCATTTTTACAAGCTATACAGGTAAATCTTTATTTACTGAACAGTGACCATTTAAAGTTATGACAGCACTCAGAAAAGAGACTTAGAGCCAGTTCTCAAAGTTGTGGCTGTTGCAGGGCACCTGTGGTGATATGATTGAAATTTGACAAAAGGTGCACATTTATGACAGTCGCAGTGTCCTGCTGTCACATGGTCACCATTTGTGCCCTTCACAGCTGGCTTCCAACAAGCAAAGTTAATGGGGAAACCAGTGGGAAGTCACAAATTGCAGTCATGTGACATCACACATAACGCTTAGCAATCGCAGCGAGAACTGATGAATTATTGTAAGCCAGGTGCAATTATGTGACTTTTCACTTTACAACTGTGTTGTCTAGCAACGAAGCTGCCGGTCCCAATTGCAATAGGTAAGGCAGGACCATCTGTAGTGTTGCCACTCACTGTTTCAGCTTTGTACTTATTGTTCAAGCTGTGCTACAGGCATTGGCCAAGTTGTTTTCTGTCAGGAACATAAACGTGCCATCAGCACAGCCGGTCACAACTGCAGTGTTGTGTCCCCTGGTCTATTCCTGAAGACATCCCCATTGGAAAAGTTTTGCTTTTTCATCCTCATCCTTTCTCAGACTCTCAAGGTATTCACATGCCTATCCTTTACCTCTTTCACCTCCTATGTGCTCTTCCTTCTGACATGTATTGCTCTCCTTCCATTAAGCGTCTTTTACAAGTATCAGCTGATACTGGGTCACAGAGAAGACAGGTCTCCACTCTTCCTACTTCGGCTATTTTGTCATTGGGATGGCGAGGTCTCAATTTCAAATATTTAAGCAAGAGGGAGGCCAAATCTATATCTGAATTTGGGAAGGGGCAGAGAATAGATCTGGCCTTTTCTGCCCTCTTGCAGCTAAAACTGATCCTAGATTGCAAGATGGAGAAAAGGCAGGATATACATCCAAAAGGAATTTAAATTAATCAATCATTGGAACTCCACTCCACCTCAGCCTTCTTGGAGCTGCTGCTTCCTTGCAGCTGTTCAGGGTTGGGGAGAGGCAGAATGTTAAACAAGGAAGCTGAGATGGACATTGGCCATTTAAAAAAAAAAGAGTTGTGTTTTGTGTGAACTTCTGGAAGAGATTTGTGTTGTGTTGTTGAGGTTTCTGAGTGCTTTTCTGGCTTGGGCCTAGCTACCTGACTTTTTGTTCCCTAGCAACCACGGGGTGGACTCAGAGAGCCCTTAATTGGACACACAAGGAATTTGTCCCTGGTGCAGAAGCTCTCAGCGTCCATGCAAAGCAACAGAATCATCATCACCTTCATCCCAATAACAGGGGGGAGTAAAGAAGATAATAAGAAGGATAAAGGATAATACTACAGCCATACTACATGGGCACAAATACCAGAGTGCTGGCAGGAGGGAAAAAGCTGTCTTTGTGTCTGACTATCTTATCCTGCAATGCCCTGTAGCGTTGTCCTGAGGGGAGGAGTAGAAACAGTTTGGGTCCAGGTTGTGAGGGGTCTATAGATATTTTCCAGCCCTCCTTCTGACATGCGCAATATACAATCTGAAACTATTCAGACATTTGCCCTATTAATACCAAGGACTCAGCTGGCCAGATCAACCTTGATCTGCTCTTCCTGGAGTGGCTGGGCATCTCCCAGAATGCAGGGCTAACCGAGTTAACCTCTTGGGGCCCCATGCTTGCTAGGCTGGCTTCCTGAGAGCCGTCCACCTTTTGGAAACGCAGCTCACCTCAAACTTCTGTCTGAACTCCTCATTGCCTTCTTCGCCTTCTGCGGGGACAGGAACGTTGAAGTATTCTCCCTCTTCCTGGCTCAGGAGTTTAAACCTGGGGGGAGGAAAAAGGGAGTCATCAAAACAGTCCTGAGCTGGGGCTGCAGCCCCCAAAGGCCAGCTGGAGAATCTGACCAAGGGCCAGGCCTGGCCACGTCCTGGCCCAGGTATGTCCTATTTTTTGTTTTAATTAGCTGTGCTGACTTTTAAAGAAAGGAATGATCCAAGAGAGCATGCATAGGTAACAGAGATCAACACTCAAGTACGCCAAGAACAATCAATCAGAATAGAGCTGGAAGGGACCTTGGAGGTCTTCTAGTCCAACCCTCTGCTCAAGTCGGAAACCTTATACCATTTCAGACATCTGACTGTCCAATCTTCTTAAAAACCTCCAGTGATGAAGCACCTACAAATTCTGGTGGCAGGCTGTTCCATTGGTTAATTGTCCTCACTGTTAGGAAGTTTCTCCTTAGTTCTAGGTTGCTTCTCTGCTTGATTAGGTCCTGCCTACAGATGTTTTGGTAAATAAGTTGACCCCCTCTTCTTCGTGACAATCTCTCAAATACCAGAATTCTGCTATCATGTCACCCCCTAGTCCTTCTTTTCTCCTAGCCCAGGGGTAGGCAACCTCGGCTCTTTTATGGCTCATGGACTTCAACTCCCAGCTGTGCTGACTCGGGAATTCTGGGAGTTGAAGTCCATGAGTCATAAAAGAGCTGAGGTTGCCTACCCCTGTCCTAGCCAAATCCAAATCCCAAACAAAAGTGGATGAGAACGGAAACCAGAGCGAGGACAATGGGATGTAAGTGATATCTCCAAACCCTTTTCCCATGTCAAAAATGCTTCAAAAGAAGCAAACAAAACCCACGCAGAGTGTGGCAAATACCCCGTGCTTGTTTTGATTTGCAGGTTATTTTAAAAATGGGCAATCCTTTCAAAATAGCATCTCCCACCCGCTGCTCATTCAAGTGCTTAAGATTGGGCAGCCGTGCCTGCCGGGAAGGGCCGTATGGCTCCAGACAAAGAGGGGATTTTCAAAATTAAAAGGAAGAAGCATCATCTCCTGCTTGAGGAGGGAGAATGAACAGACAAGATGAGACTTGCATCGGCCCAAGGTCTCTTCTCCGGGTACATCCCGTGGCTCTTTAGAGATGAAAAATGAACGGGAGCTTCCTTCCTCGCAAAGTTTATTTAAGCCAATACTGTGACAAGGAAAATTAGTTAGATCTCCACTTGTTTTATTTATTTTATTTTATGAGACTTATATACCGCTTTAAGTGCAAGCACTCTCTAAGCGGTATACACCAGTAAGCAATGTATATATATCTATTTACATTGCCCCCAACAATCTGGGTCCTCATTTTACCTACCCCGGAAGGATGGAAGGCTGAGTCAACCTTGAGCCGGTGAGATTTGAACCGCTGACCTGCTGAACACAGTCAGCTAAAGTGGCCTGCAGTACTGCAGTACGTAGCTGCTTACCATATAGTTTACATGCTCTCTAATGTGCTCAGTTGGCAAAGCCAAACTGGAGCCAAGACTGCAAGTGGCGAGGAAGCCAAATGAAATGGGGGAGACTGAATGAGGACCTGGCTGGCAGCCAATGCACAGAGGGGGCACCTTGTCCCCAGCGGTCCTGAGCCTCTGAAGGCCGCTCCTGACACCCCTGGCTGCCCGAGCCCTTATGGAACGGCAGCGCTGTGGGAGGGCTGGGTTGCACCCAAGTGATAAGAGGCTTCCCTTCCAAACATCTCTCCCCCAGTGGTGCCCACTGCCTTCTCCCCCATGGCTCTGGCTGAGCCCAGGCATCATGCATAATCTGCTAGTGGCTGGTTATGCCCAATAAACATGCCAGGCTAGGTTAGCTATCACCCAGGCTGGATTCGGGCAGGGTGAAAACTTAGGTTATGGGGAGCTGTAAAGGCTCTTTTCTGGCAAGCTCTTGCAGAGAACAAGGCCACGTCACAACTGAACTTGGCAAGAATGCCGTCCAGATGAGTGACAAGCCCAGGTTGGCATGCAGAGATGGTGTGAGTGCATGCAGAAACAAAGGGTATCTTAATCAATTACCAAAGGTCATGTGAGCCATACCGAGGACTTAATTTATGGAGACTATCGTAAATGAAATTGGAACTGTAACAAATGAAAATAATTCTAAAATTTTGAGAGGTGCCTTTACGCTATAGTTTGCTTAGCTTATGCTTAAATTCTCTCCAATTTTCTTTTTTGTGGCTTCTCATAAGGTATGTGATCACAGACCTTTGTTTAGATTTTGGTTTAATGTAACCTCAGAAAGTGGCTTAAGCAGGGGGTTTTTTTCCAAATCTGTCCCATTAACTGCCCCAGTTGGAGAGGTTTGGCAAATAAACCGAAAGAATATTGTCACAACTCTGCCCCTGGATATCAACTACCATTTTCCATTAGCTTCATTAAACCTTCATGCTAGCTAAGCATTTCAGCAAGGAAAAGAAAGGCTAGAATATTCTGCTTCTTCAAATGACAGGATAAGTCATTTACAACACCAAAATAATCTACGTGATTCAATCCTAACATGACTCAACATCCCAGTTTTACTGGGTCAGCCTATTTGGGAAGAAGAGTCTGGGGCAATGTCCTGTCCACTCAGCAAAGTGTCCTCTCTATGCCAGGCAGCCAGGGGCAAAGGCACAGCACCAGAAGCAAATTTGGCACTTGCCACTCCTTGCTGCTGTGTGAGTACTTGGGTAAGGCAGCCCTACCTCACAGCAAAAATCTGGGTGACAGCAGAAAGGTACAGAAATACCCGCTTTGGTGAGAATTGTCTTTAATATACACATTCTTGAAAGCAGCTGATCTCAGTGTCTTTTTATGCACATTTTTGTAATATACAAAATATTAATATTAATATACAATATGCCATTTTGTGAACATATGCATATACATGTGTGTGTGTGTGAAATGTGCATAAAATGCATCATTTATACTGTAAACCATATCACATTTGGAAAACTGAGGTTCAGATTAAAATTTGCAAAATGAATAACTTAGCATAAAAATATAAATAGAACAAAATTCTCCTCCCCTTGCCTGGGAATCAACATGAAAACTGCATCTCTCGATGAAAAGAAAGAGAGTCTACATTATTCATCTATCACTGGAAATCCTCAGATGCAGGAATCCATTTTCTACTAAATGGTTCTTCACTAAGGACAGCCAAGCCACAAAGGTGTTTCTCAAGAACTGGCTTGGCCTGATCAGTTCTCAACTTCATTTGAATGGGCACTGAAACCCTCCTGCCCATAAAGAAGAGAAAAAGAGAGCTAGTCACTTCCTACATCTGTTGCTGTACATATATAACTTTCATTCATTCATTCATTCATTCATTCATTCATTCATTCATTCTCATATTTAAGAAGTGCCCATCTTCCTTACAGAGGGACTCTCAGTGGTGTACAAGTAAATGTTAAAAACATAAAAACTAAATCATTATCACTAAGGTGACCGACCGTCCTCCTTTAGGGAGGACAGTCCTCCTTTTGTAAGTCCTGTCCTCCCTCAAAAAGTGTCCTCCTTCATGTCCTCCTTTTCGATATTTGAAGACTAATCTGCAGGGCTTTTTTTTCTCATAGAATGCTCAGAACGGCATTCCGGCACCATTTTTTGATGGTTTTTTTCCCCCAACTTTTGCATGAGCTGTGCTACTCCCACTATTGGCTTTCGAAAGCCAATAGGAATTGCTGCTGGGCGCGCCAAAACACCCGGCTGGCAAACTTTGCACATGCAAGTTGTCTGTATTATTGTTGCAATGAAAAAAAATGTTTCTTTTATTTACGATGTTTTTTTCTTCAATTTATTTGTGTCCTCCTTTTTATTGTAAAAAAGTTGGTCACCTCATTATCACTCTAGCCATGGTCTATCCACTGCAGGATGAAGGTCTATTCCACATGTTTCCCACCAACATGGTCCTGAGCTTCCCAATCAGCCAGTTGGGTCTGCAATACTGGCTGATGTCATCAATCCATCTTGTTTTAGTTCTTTTTCGTGGACACTTTTGATCAAGTGGGATCCATTCTATGACTGCCTTGGTCCACCTGCCATCAGCCTTTCTTTCTATGTGACCAGTCCATTTCCATTTCCATTCTTTTGCTCTCTTTGACGGCATCATATATTTTAATTTGTGCTCTAATCCATGCGCGGGTCTTTCTATCTTGTCTTGTGATGTCTCTTTCCACGGCTCTTTGCTCCACTTGTAGCTTTTGTACCGACTGTGAGGTTAGTGTCCATGTTTCACTGGTATATGTTAGAGCAGGTAGCCCACACTGATTGAAAACTTTTCTCTTCAGGCATCTTGAAAATTACGTTTAACTTGACGAATGCCTGCCAACCACATTTAATACACCATTCAATTTCCATTTTTGTATCACCTTCCATTGAGATCCATTGGCCAAGGTATATGTAATGGTCTGCTACATCTAGTTCTTCTCTGATATTTTTTTTTCTATCTTTAGTGAATTTATTAAACACAACCTGGCTCTTTTTCAGGTTTATTTTGAAGCCGAATGGTTCTCCTGCTTTGTGCAGCTCCTGTATGTGTCTTTGTAGCTCTTCTGGGTCTTGTGAAAAGAGAACAACATCATCTGCAAATCTTAAGTGATTTAAATAAGCGCCATTGGTTTTTATTCCATCTCTCTAGTTTCCGAAATAGTTCTTCAAGGCAAACTGAGAAAAGGACAGGTGATATTGTATTGCCTTGTCATACACTTCGTTCTATGTTGATTTCCACTTTAACTTTAACATAATTAAGTCAAATTGTCACCATTGTTTTTTTCATATATTGATTATAGGTAATAATAAAGTTGACATTGTAAGTTAATTAAAAGGCAGGATTCTAGTACCTGGCTGAACAACAGTAACTATGAGAGGGATCTACAGTATGGGACCTAGTGGACCACTACTTAAGCATAAGTCAGCAGTGTGCTGCAACTACAAAACAAGCCAATGCACTCTGAGGCTGCGTCAACAGAGGGATAGTTTCAAGATCACAAGAACTGATAACACTACTTTATAATGCCTCAG